CACATTTCAAAAATTTTGTAGGTCACAATTTATTCATCGATCACAAATTGATAGGTCGCATATTTTCTTCAGTCACAAATGTTCAAGGTTACAATTTTTTATCGGTCACAGATCAAAAATTTTGTAGGCCACGAATTATTTCGAGATCACAAATCAATAGTTTTATAGGTCACATATTATTTTATTGGTCACAGATTCAAAAATTACGGGTCACAGTTATCTATCAGTCATATATTTTCAAATTTATTGGTCACGGATTAATTTTTAGTCACAATTTGAAGGTCACAATTAGATTTTTTGTGTGACCACCACCGACTTTTGTGATTACCCTGCCGCCACTGCTGCCAACACCACCATCGCCAACAACCACACCAATAAACACCGCACAATCACCAACCACAAAATCACAGATCCACAAATCAGTGTAAAACTCCAAAACACGAAACAACAAAACCGCCTATCTGCAAATCCCAGATTTGCAGGAAAAGATGCAGAACTGAGAGGAGATGAAAATCGATTCCATTCATTGGGAAATTCCCTCGGGAGATCTGATGATCCAGCATTCACCATTTGAGCTTTGGCGCCGCCATTGGAAGAATACCTCAAATCACAACCTACCTCAAATCGTCGCGACAGATTCCTTTGAAAGCTCTGCTGGTGGTTGCGGTTGGCGGCTGCACCACTTGACAATGAAGGGATTTTGGGTTGGGTTGGGGGGGATGAGGTAGGAAGGAGGTAGGGTTAGTTGACGGCGTTTCAATAGCTGCTTCAGATCGTGGTGGTAGTGGGGTTGACGGCGGCGAAAAAGGAGGGGGTAGAGAGAACTGGTTGGGCGGTGGTCCAAGCACAGAGACGGGGAGGAAGTGGAATGAATTTTAGGGTTGATTTAGGTTATCTTAGTTTGGATGAAAATTATATAATTAAATATAAAAAACCTGATTTTTGAAATGTTAAACTTGTGAGGTGATTTGTGAAAATTGAAAACTAAAACCAGGGCTCGGTGTAATTTCCTGAAACCCAAATCCAACTCCAATATGAAAATAAAACCCAAATCCAACAAGAAAAATCCAACCCAAATTCCATCAAATCCAACTACAAAATCTAACCCAAATTCCACCAAACCCAAACCGGCTATCAAAATCTAACAAAAATTCCACCAAACCCAAATCCAATATCAAAATCTAACCTAATTCATCAAACTAATCAAAATCCAACCCAAATTCCATCAAACCCTAATCCAACAATCGAAATCCAATCCAATTTCCATCAAACCCAGAGCAATTTCATCCTTCAACTATTAGAGAAGTTCAATTCTGACATCCAACTATGATTTAAGAGCAATTTCATCCTTCATCTTTTGAAAACTTCAATTTGGTTACCCATCTATAACTTAAAAGCAGTTTCATCCTTTAATTATTGGAAAAGTCCAATTCGGTCATCAAACTATGAATTAAGAGCAATTTC